CCACCAGCCACTCCTCCTCCAGGGAAAGAGGAGGCTTTTGACTCCCATAAAGATTTACAACCTTGGAAGCCCGCAGGGGCCGTTCAGCTTGGTCCTTTTGTGTCACTGTGAGTTGGAATTGGCTCAAGCACAGAGAGTGTGGTCTTGGGTTTGAGAAAATCAAGGTAGAGAAGTGAAGAAGCATGTGGGGGGTCCTGTGTCGCACTCAGGTGGAGCCAGACCCCATCACTCGGTCTTGGGACCCCGTACCCCTCTCCTTCCCTCAGCATCCTCTCCTCTCCTCTCCTCCTCGCTCATCCATCCTCCTCTTTCTTTGATGGATCCTGACATCACAGCAGGGCCCAGTTCCACTGCACTCACTAGCCAGCATAGCACAGTATAACGAGTTTTCAGGAAAGGAACCCCCACATTTGAGGGCCTACAATCTACCAGATCATTGTACAGATAGGAGCTTCTTTAATCCTCATGACAACTCCATGGCATTCCCATTTCCCAGAAGAATTGAGGCTCCATCCAGGTTAAGCAGTGTGCAGAGCTTCTATAACCGTGAGACAACGATGCCTGGATTTGAACTCGGGTCTCTCTGACCTTAAGCCCTGAGTCCTTTGCCCCTGTCCATTCCATTCAGCAAGTATATTGAATGTTCACATGGGGCGAGCAAGCGTGTGGGACCCAGTCTCAGAGACCCTCACTAGGTCCATGTGAAATGCGAGACATAAGCCCTGGCAACCTCGAGCCACAGGAGCCTTGACTGGGCCCCCAGGCCTGCCTGGCATTGGTCAACAGTAATCGTCCACAGTATTGAGGGTGGCGGAGGCTTTTGCTGAGGTCACGGTGATACCACATGCAGCTGCCATCGATAATAACTTTTATGGGGTCCATTAAAGTCAATTTCTGCCCCTGAAGGTTACTGTCAGCTGCTTTTCTGTCACTGCTTAATATCGAAAATAAACACAGAATTGACTGGGCAATGTAAGCACAAATCTTCTTTCGGACCTGGCAGCAGAGCCAGCCCTTGGGCTCCTTGTGTTGAGTAGGGCAGGCAGGGTTGGTTGCATGTTGCCCATGCATATACAGTTAAGAAATGCGTTTGAGAAGCTGAATGTTGAGATGTAAACTGCATTCCCAGCTACTGGGTCGGGTGACACAGCGTCTCTTGTGTAGATTCTGTGCCATCCTGTGACCGTGATGAGCTCCTTCGCTGTGCCAGGCAGTATTCTAGCATCTAAATGAAGAAAGGGGAGGAGGAGCGATAGCACGTTGGTGGCCGGGGGCTGTGAGTGACAGGGAGCAGCCAGTGGAAAGGACACCAGCTTGGGGGTCCAATGGGGGAGACCTGGCCTCCAATCCTGACTACTGCACCACGTCCCGGTTTTCTGCTCTACGTCCAGTCCTTTTACCTCCCGCAGTGAGAATTTTTCTCATTTTAAAAGCAGCATGCCATCGGCCTTCCTTAAAGGTTGCTATAAGCCTCAGTTGGAGCGTTTGTGAGGTGTCTGGTCTGTGTGGATTTTTCTTGTTGTGGTTTAACTTTTTATTATGAATCGGGTGAAGGCTTACACAATTCACACACATGTTGTTGCATGTCCCTGATGGAAGTCCCCACGATATACCATGGGTTGTCCCACTTGCTCCCTGTGTTTCCCATTGCCACCTCTCCCTGCCTTCTGGACTTTGCCGTGGGGCAGTTACTGCCCTTTTGACCTGCTGGGTTGTATTAGTGGTTCCCTTCTAGACCAGCGGTTCTCAACCTGTGGGTTGCGACCCCTTTGGGGGTTGAGTGACCCTTTCATAGGGGTCACCCGATTCTTACCAGTAGCTAAATTACAGTGATGAAGTAGGAACGAAAATAATTTTATGGTTGGGGTGGGGAGGGCTCACCACAACATGAGGAACTA